AAATTATATGGAAAATGTCATCGATCGTCATTTCATGGCCATCGCTGACGCCGTTTTTATTCGATCGTACGGTATAAAACCGCGAATATCTCCGTAACCGTCAAAAATCGAGATATATTTACTGATAATATATTAGGATTACGCAAAGTAATCCGAATCCAAAAATGCAAATAATATACAGGGTGTTCCCTTTAAAAAAAATAAATTCCGATCCACTCACACTTTTTTGAACGACCAAATATAAGTTAAAATATTTTCCTGGAATATACATCCTCGTACATATTTTAGGTTTGCATTTAAACAAAATTCTCAAGATTTTTATTATTCTAGAAGGTACAATTGACGCACTTTTGCCGGACCCTGTATTTTTATGTTAAACGTATAATAGCGTTTTCAGATGGAGCGGAGCGTCCGCGACGGACCCTCCGCGACTTCGAGCAAGTACCATGAGTTTATATGAACGATTTCACATGGGTCGCGTATGCTCCGTCCGGATGAGCTATATTGAAAAAACATCCGCGCGTACGGTCCGCTCCATCTGAAAGCGCTGTAAAGGTTTGTTCCAACCCGCCGCAGAACCGTCACCGAACGATCACGCTCGTGCGCAGTAATTCACATGTAATGCATATTGGCAGGGATTATCGATTTTTAACAGCTGATTCTGGTCCGGCGTCCGGCTGATGCTTCTGTCTTGGTTATTTTTTTACGAATTCGAATACGTGTGCGTTATACTTTTGCTTGTGAGTTTGTGTGGAGTAAATCGTTAGGAAATTTTAATTAATTTTTTATTTATAAAATAATGTTCAAAGATTCTACCACTGCAATGAAATAACAGGAAACTACGCATAACAGGATCATAAAAGAGAGGATAGGTAAGTGCGAGTTAGTTAGTATACAGTTGAAATAACACTTACCAACAAGTACTAGATTCCGATTCTCCATTTCAAGAATAATAATTATTATTATTGCAAATTGCAAACAGAAATAATAGGGTTCCCATATAACACACAATATCCGCAGGATATTCATACAATGTCGGAATGTCCCATTATAAGATCATCTTATAAAGACATCTATAGGTTATCCTCCAGACATCCTGAAATCCTGTAGATGTCTCAGAATAGAATATTCTATGGATATCTCTGTCGTATATCTATTGTACATCCAGCTGAGATATCCAAACATGCTCATGATAATAAAATATCCTAACAATATCGTCTAGATATTTAGGAAAAACAAATAATGTACTACTTTTTATATTACATAAAATGCATACATAAAATGCAATAAACCATACAGATAGATATATATTACGTCAAGGCAACAAAATATCCTGTTGGTATCTTCTGGATAATCTGGATATTTATGAGCTTGGCCACTCCCAGTAATATAGAGAATTAAAACGCCCGCGCAAAAAATTTCCCACAATCCATCTCGACAGTTGTTTGTTTTTGGGTTTTTGCATGGTGTATTATTCAGTTCTTTGATTTAGTGAAATTCGAGGTGAATTCGGTCGTTTGTCGATATTGATTGGGCTTAAAAATGACTGAAACTAACAAAACTGGTTGAGTTTGACTTAGTTTTTTCTTATACTCATAGTTCTAGCCTTGTTCTAGATCTAGAAGAAATTCTATCCTAACCTCAACTAATGTCGAAAGACGACGAACGACTCAGGGTCTCACAATGAAAATTTTGTGACAAAATTATAAGTGAAAATTTGTTGAAAACGCTTGTTCTTTATCCCTAAACCCATTTTCGTGTTTGATCTATTCAAACAGAAATCCTATTTTTGTGTTTAAATTGTGAGTTTCTGGAATGTGTGGTGTTAGAAATTATGCCTGTATCCTGTGTGCTAACTTTGATGTAAACTGTTGCTGCTAGACATAAACTGCTAGACTCCATAAAAGGGTGGTATAGTCTGGTATAATACCATACGATCGAAAAAAACGGCGTCAGAGGTGGCTTGGAAATGAAGATTGCTGTTATTTTGTATGTAAAATTATATGGGAAATGTCATCGATCGTAATTTTCAAGCTAATTGAACGCCGTTTTTTTTCGATGGTACAGTGTAAATTGAAAGCTCTTAACTCATACAAATAAACTTCTAAATTTTGACGCAAAAATCATTGTAGGTATATTTTAGAGCTGTTAATAAAAATATCCAATGAATAACGTCAAAATGTGGCTAAATAAAACTAAATCGCGAACGTTTTTACTATAAACTAAGGATGAAGTAAGTATTGTCAAATAACAGTCCTCATAAAATGTCCTATAATATTCTATAATGCTCCCAACATCATCCTTGTATTATCCTATAAATATCCCAAATAATCGTAAAAGGCTTGCCTAGGGATGTCTTGAAGATGATTTTTTTGTCCCATCTGGATATCCTATAAATATCCTCCTCTGGTTTTTGGATATCCCTAAGATATTTACTATATCCTTGGTGGATATCCTCAAGATATCTATAGGATTGTGTTGTGTTATATGGGTTATGTTATGAAATTCTAAACAAAAACAAAAAGCCGGTCGATACACGCACGCTTGACACTTTTGACAGTCCCGAAAACAATCCATAAAGCGTTTCAACGTTGATACTTTTTGCACCGTCACGAAACTATTCAAAGTCCGCGCATGCTAACAAAGTGCAAGAAAACCGATTCGAGTACGATTTCGAAAGGATCCCGAAATGCTGGTTGGAACAAACCTTATATTAAACAGATTGCCTGGTAACTTTTGGACCAATAGCTTGGAAGCTGCAATCACGTCACAGGGATGCTACAGAACGTATAAAATCCTAGATAAAGGAATCTATACATATTATAAAATGCTAAAATGTTTATCTGTGTCGTCTCTACTGAAGTAACGTCTTCCTCTAGAAAGTTGCTTTTTTACTAAAAGATAGCTAATTGGCTCCTCTAAAAACTCGTCGTCGCCGGATTTTTTGTTTTTCATTTAATTAAAAAAATAAATAAAAAGCTTTTTTTCCTGATGTCATGTCGTGGCGGATGCGCCAGGCTTCATGCAACTAGTAAAAAATAAAATGCAACCGCCAAAGAGAGATAAATGGGCAATACTATAAAGAAAACACACATCAAACAACTGAAAACTATGGACGCCATACACTATAAACAATAAAATACACAATGAATATCGAGTCGGAAATGCACTGTCGGACTGTCGAGGCTAGTCGAGACCAAACATTTTCATTTACAATTCTTTTATTTTGTATACCGGGTGCGTCTCATAAGTGGCTCACCCCTATAACTTTTTTATTTTTTCAGATAAAAATCGAGATTTGGTATGTTAGTAGTATATGACATAAATTAGGATTGATTGACGTATTCAATTGTTTTTGGTAATTTCCTGTTTCGTCGGAAATGACTACAACTTTTGATTTTTAAATGGCACTTTTATTTTTTACTTTATTCGATAGAAAATGACATTCTGAATAGAATAACATATTATATGTCAACTTTTGACATTCTCGCTGAATAAAAAAATGTATGTTAAACTTCAGTGCCATGGCTATGTTAAAAACACTAATTCTTAATCAAGGAGCCTTGGAAAAATAGATTTGATCGTCTAATATTTTTAGTGCCTTGTCCTGGCCAGTTAGAAAATGCCCAAATCGTATTTTTAATCATATCTCAATTTTTTAAAATGGAACGAGGGTGGCTCATTAGCATATTTGGGAAAAGCATTTTTTTACGAATTATTTGATACCACACACATTCGAATCAAATTTTCATTACGAACAGCAAGATATAATTTCAAATAAACCATATGCGAAAATGTCAAAAGTTGACATATGATATGTATACTATTCAGAATGTCATTTTCTGTCGAATAAAGTAAAAAATACCGTGGGTGCTATTTAAAAATCAAAAGTTGTAGTCATTTCCGGTGAAACAGGAAGTAACCAAAAACAATTGAATACGTCAATCAATCCTAATTTATGTCATATACTAACATACCAAATCTCGTTTTTTTTGCCTGAAAAAATAAAAAAGTTATAGAGGTGAGCCACTTTTGAGACGCACCCCCGGTATGGTTTGATGTGTTTTATTTGGTCTTGATAGATATGATTCTTTTGTTCTTGGTATTTCTATTCTTTTTATATCTGAAATATCAAATTTCCGAACAGCAAAAAATGGAATATGTTATGTATGGAACAGAAATTTTACGTATCCTTCCTTTTTTTATTAATATAGAATTCAATATGAAATGGAAACGACGGAAATCCTGTTTTTGCTAATTTGGTTTTAATGCATAATATATTTTCCGTCTTAAAAAGCTACACATTTTGGTACCAAAATAAACGGGAATATCGATAGCGGTCATATAGAAACAGGGATTTAAAAATGGGAGAAAGGATAAAAGCCCATGCGTAATTTGAATTAAAGAACCGCTTTTCTGAAAATTTATCGTTTTTGGATACTCATTGTTTTTGTGCTCTTCAGTTGTAATTGGAGTAAAAAGTACAAAAAAAATATTTATTATTTAAAATATCTAGAAAAATGTGATGTCTGGGTATATATAGATTGAACCGCAACATTATTTAAAAAAATAAAAACCATTTGGCCCAGCAAGAAAATGTCTTCAAATACACCTCGGCGCTATTTAACAAAAACGTGTTAAATGAGAAAATCTTATATGATAAAATGGTGAAGGAGAAATAGTAATACTTTAGGCTAGTAAGGTATTTATGTAACTAGAAAAAAATGAATTATTAAAATTCATTAAAATCCTAATATATAAACTTAATTATAAACTTATGATATATACATAGACCATACATTATATGATCTAAGGTAAATGTAATGCGAGATCCGACCTATCTAGATGGACAAATCTTGGTTTTTTGTACGACAAATGCCCTATTAACTAACATGGCGTTTATGCAACCAGAAATTCAATAATATTGTAGTAGATCTTTTGTTCTCTTGTGTTTAGTCCATCTCTAGCTCTAGTCTATTCCTAAACTCGTAGATGTAGATACTTTGTCCATCTGTCATCTGTCGTAGGTAAAATATACCTCTCTAGAATTTTTAATAGCTTCTCTGATCTGATGGATTTTGTTATAAATAATCTTATATATTGAAATTTTTGAGAGGAAAATTAAATATATTATTTTAAATGTCATTCTTAAGGAAGTGTTTATGGAATAATCAAATTAAACGTTTTATATTATCACACCCCAACAATGGATCCACCAGAAACAAGTCAAGCTTTATATACCTCCAACAAATCTTTACAAAGCCAGAGAGTGATAGGATACACTATATAAAAGCATTTGTCTTGTTATTTTCTGGGTATTTAACGTACAAAACTGTAAATAGCAAATTAACATTCATACCACATGTAAATGCTGCTACACTTTTTCATAATACTCAAGAACCTAGTCAGCTAGCAGGAAGAAGGGCCCAATTTAATTTCATAGCAGATGTTGTAGAGAAATCTGCTCCAGCAGTCGTTTATATAGAAATTAAAGATAGTAGGTATTGTGCTGAGACAAGACTAGTCCTTCAGAGATAAAAGTTAAAAAATTTCTCTCCCAATTTTAGAAGAGTTGATTTTTTTACTGGACGTCCCTTAACAATATCCAATGGGTCAGGCTTTATAATTGAAGCAGATGGTCTTATAGTCACAAGCGCTCATGTTGTTACAAGCAAAGCTTCAGCCAAAGTTGAAGTAAAATTTTGTTTAAAAATGCAAACAGTTTATTTTAGCTTAATATTATTTTTTTAGGTAAAACTTATTGATGGAACTACTTATAGTGGTGAAGTGGAAAATGTGGATTTGAAGAGTGACCTGGCAACAGTGAGAATAAAGGCTAAAAATTTACCTACTATGAGATTAGGAAATTCTTCTGATCTGAAACCTGGAGAATTTGTTGTAGCTATTGGAAGTCCTTTAGCTTTAAGCAACACAGTAACTTCAGGTAATTATAAAAATGATGACATTCTTATTTTTAATTACTTAGGTTTTATTTGTTTTGTATAGTCAATAATGTTTTATAGGTGTAGTAAGCTCAGCACAGAGAGCTTCAGATGAACTAGGTCTCAGAGGCAAAGACATGGTCTACATCCAGACAGATGCAGCTATAACATTCGGTAATTCAGGTGGTCCCTTGGTAAATTTGGACGGAGAGGCTATAGGAGTAAACAGTATGAAAGTCACACCAGGAATATCATTTGCAATACCCATCGATTATGTGAAGGACTTCTTAAAGCAGTCCCGTGGAGGAAGGAAGTCTGCAGATCTACCTAAAAAACTTTACCTGGGAATCACAATGTTAACATTAACACCCCAAATAATGAACGAATTAAGTCAAAGACATGAATTGATGTTACCCAATGATTTAAAGGGTGGTGTTTTGGTGTATAAGGTTCTTATAGGCTCACCAGCTTATAGGTATTTATATATATACTTTTTTTACTTCCTATTTCGCTCAACAAATACCTATTTTTAGTGGAGGTTTACAACCAGGAGATATAGTAACTCACATAGATGGCCAACCGATAAAGAGTGCTAATGATGTTTATGCAGTGCTGCAGCAAACAAAAGCAAAAGAACTAAAAATGTCTGTTTCAAGACATGGTCGCAATATTAACTTAATTGTAGTACCCGAAGACATGAACTAAATAATGTTTTTGAGGTACATAAAACCATATATTTGAATTGATCATTTATGTTTACATTATAAAATAAAATTATTCATTGAGTTATCTTTTTTTTCTGCCTTTTACTTCGATCCAGCCATCATCTTCCATAGGAGTTTCAGGTGAGATATCATCGTCACTATCTGAAGAACTGTCCCCGTTCCTAATTTCTTGCACTCTACTTTGTTGGTTTAACCATTGCGTATTTGCAGTAGGTAATTTCTGAAACTCTATTTCACACTCTGCAGTTTTTCCTAAAATACCACCTCTTTAAAAAATTATATATTTTTAAGAAGATATTGACGGCACCTTCTTTTAATAATATTAAAAACTTAAACAATACATTTGCAACTTGTTTAGGAGACTCATCTTCGCATATAGTTTCGAATTCCTCGTCTAAAATATCTTCCAAAGCATCTTGAATACTTTCCAGGTCTACATTGTTTTCATACAAACAAAATTGAACCATATAATTTAAAAATTCCGTGGCTGCCTGGAAAGAAAATGAAATAAGGGTAAAATAAGTTTTGCCTGTAAGAGTGCCATACTAACTTACCTGCTTGCTGTTTGATTTATCTGAATGTTCGACAGCAAGTCTAAGGGCTGTCCAGTTGTTAAATATTTGAGAAACAATTTTAGTAAAAGGCTCTTCCATTGTTTTTTACTCGGATACTACAGCATTATTCCTGACATTAGAGCAAAGTAAAAATTACAAGGGCATCTTAATATATTTAGTATTCTTAATTCAAATTGTTATATTATTTTATCAAGAAAGACACAAATGATAAAAAGCAATTTATTTTGCGAAAAACACAAGCGAAAAAAAACATAACCTCAATTGAAGAGTAAGTTGGACATTTGGAATGACGTTACACCACAGATAACATTTTCTGTTTTTTTTCCAATTTTTGTTCTATGGCCTATTCATTAGGAATGGGCAAAAATTGAACGAATAGTTCATTTGAACGATTAATATGAATCGAACATAGTTTTTTATGGTATACCGCTGCAAAAAACCTTTCCAGTGTAAACTTGTTTCATTTATCTATGATCTAAATTTGGTTTAATTGTAAAGCAAATGACTATTTCTTAAATAAAAGTTTATTTTAAGCGTTTTGATAATAGTGTTTTTAATATTTCATCACATTTACCCATATTAGCTCGATTATCAGTTGTTAAGGCAATTAAAACTAAGAGTGCCTTTAACCAAAAACAGTGATATAAATGGAGATACCTACTCAAATTTTATATTATCATGATACTAAAGGATATAAATACAGCATTTATAATCCTTTTACACCTTTTTATTCAAAGTCTTACACGCTAATATAAAATTTGACTATCTCCATTTATTTCACTATTTTTGGTTAAGGGCACTCTTAATTTTAATTTTCCTTTTTTTTATGGGAAAACGATTAAATGGGAAGAATTGAATGGGAATGGAAAGAATGACCAATTATTGTATTTTGTATTAATTTATAATACCCCTATTCTACTAAATATCTAGCTACATTGTACTTACAGTTAAATAGCTACATTGTACTAGTTATATACATATTTACAGTTTTATGATGGCTATTATTTCTTTTCATCGTGCTATCAATTGATTCATCTCCGACTTGAGTACTATACCCGAGATGGCTCCAGGAATTATTTACCTTTACAGGCCTAGAATATGAAGATTCACAGTAGAATTTTTGGTTTTACTGCCTATTAGAAACAAACCTACCCCCTACATCAAGGGACATACAATTATGCCTTGTTCTCGGCCATGATATTCCTTCCATTCTATATCCAACATCCAACTTAGCAGACCTTCTGGTTCACAACAGGGCCTAGACTGGTCGGATGATATTTTAACAGAATAGCCCTTGATATCTCTTTCACACTTTCATTTAATAATTAAATAGGAAATAGGAGGGCTGGATGGTATAATTTCTAGAAAGAATAGCCAGTGAAATAAAAACTTAGGCATGGACATTACCTTTCTTACCTTTGTCTGCTATTTTTTAATAAAAAACAACTGTTTAGTTTGCAGAAAAATAAAATTAACAATCAAAATTTCTTAAAAATGATCAAGCCTTTGTACTACGCCGCGTGCCGCTTTTTGAACAAACAACAAACAAAAGAATGAAGTTAGCGGCGTTGCCAATGTCAATTTTCTAAACTACCCAAAAATCTAAATTAAATTCGCCAATTTGGGGAGAAAAATGTCCTGATTCACCAAAATTCCCATATGATTATTTTAACAAAAAAAAATAATTTTAATAAAAATACAATATTTATTATATATGTTAGAGAGATTAAACTGTAAATTACCTCCTTGTTTTTAATCCCTTCCTAGTAGTCATTAAATAATTTGAGGTCACTAAATTTTCTTTCAACTGAAGCATTTGCAAAGGAAGCACAAGTAAAAAGCAGATTATAATTTTTAAGTTGGGAAAGATATATCGTCCTGCCCGTTTTTAAAGCTAAAAATTTTACGCCATTTTCAATCAGCAATAAAATGTTGAAACTCCCCTTATTTTCGCCCCTATTGCTAAAATCCCACAAAACTCCCAATCGGCTCCGGATTCCCCAAAATTTGGGGAATTCTCCACAAATTGGCAACGCTGGAGGTTAGCGTGTTCTTTCTGAATATGCTAAGACTAACGGACTAGTGTCGAAACACAGATAGCTAGATGGACGTATTCTCGGCTATTGCATTGCGAATGGGTAAAATTGAACGAATAGTCATATGTCTTCTGGCAGTGAATCGAATTTTTCTGTTTGTCTATGGGTATACCGCTGCAAAAAACCTTTCCAGTGTAAACTTGTTTCATTTATCTATGATCTAAATTTGGTTTAATTGTAAAGCAAATGACTATTTCTTAAATAAAAGTTTATTTTAAGCGTTTTGATAATAGTGTTTTTAATATTTCATCACATTTACCCATATTAGCTCGATTATCAGTTGTTTTTGCTACAGCGCCTAAGAAAAATTTAAAAACCTTCTTTTTTCCAGAAAGAAAATCTTTCAAAGCTTTCTCATTTTCTTTTAACACAGTCTCACATATCTTCGTTAATTCATCTACATCAGTTATCTGTTTCCAATTCCTCTTTTCAATAATCATTGCTGGTGTATCGCTATCACCTGATAACAATTCATCCAATACAAGCCTAGCTGTTTGATGGCTAATTTGAGCTTGTTTAAGCAAGTCTATAATTTCACTAAAATATTTTGATGGAATATTCCTAAAAATATATAAAAGTACAATTAACACTAATGCTAGTATAATAAACTTACATGTTTTCTATTTCCAGTTTTAACTTGTTCAGGGAAGTATTTAAATCATTAATTAAAAAATTAGCTAGTGCAATAGGATCTACATTTTTGCTTTTTAATGCAAGCTCGAAATGTTGCAGTAAGCAACTATCATTCTGAAAATATTCAGTTAAAATAAAAAAATAGACTGGTTATATGAAAACAAACTTACTACTAAAATAATACTTTGTGTTTCAGTTAACCCTAACTCATTCCTTAGACGAATTCTTATTTCTTCGGGCAATTCCGGTATTATTTTTTTTATCGTATCTGCATTGACTGAACCAAATTCAATTGGTCCCATAGCTACATGCAATGGTGGCAAATTAGGTTCAGGCATATACCTATAATCCTAAAATTAATTTTAATATTTAATTTACACATTTCTGTTGTATTTATATACTTATATTAAATCAATATACCTGCTGTACTTCTTTATCTCTCATAGGAACGGTAACCTTCTTTTCTGCATTCCATGCTCTGGTCTCATTGAGAACAGTCCCAAAAGAGTTTTTAATCTTAATTTGTCTGTCAATTTCATATTTAATAGCTCCAGCAACACCTCTTACAGATCCAATGTTCTTAATTTCAGTTCTAGTTCCTAATGGCTGACCTTTTTCGTGTATGGACACATTTGCATCTATTCTAAGGGCACCCTCTGTATAATAATTACACTTTTGTTTGTATTGTTGTTTATTTGTTAAAATGTCAAAATTATATTTGTGAATAAAACAACAAACTATGGAAGTCTGTGAATCTTTTAACAACCTTACTGAAGCTGCTTTGCAGGTATCTTAGTTCCTTCTCCTAATTATCTTACCTTCCATTTTACAAGAGCATGTTCTAATTCTTTCAAATATTCCTATTAGTTCCTTAATAAGTGCAGCTGCTTCATCTCCATCCTTTAAATCAGGCTCGAATACTAACTCCATTAAAGGCATTCCTGCCCTGTTTAAGTCCACCAAACTTCTATCAAAATCATGAAGACTTTTACCACTATCTTGTTCTAATTGAATCTAAAATCAATACTAACAATAACAAGCTCATTGCACCACACATCTCGCTTACTTGTTTTATTCTGACTTTTGTTTTATATGGTTTTTTGTGCACGCTAGGTGTATATACATTAAAATCAAAACTTCCATTTGATGCTAGTGGAGCTCTTTGCTGTGTTATTTGATACCCTGCTGGCATATCAGCGTAAAAATAGTGTTTTCTATCAAAATAGGATACTGGATTTACTTGACAATTCAAAGCTAATGCTGTTAAAACTGCAGCTTCAACACAACTTTTGTTTAGTGTAGGAAGGGTACCTGGGGTTGCCATGTCGAACAGAGATACATTAGAGTTTATAGGACTTGAAAATTTAGAACCTGCTCCCGAAAACAATTTACTATTTGACTGGATCTGAGCGTGTACTTCTAAACCTACAACACTTCTCCATTTTGAACTAAAAATGCAGCTTCTTAAGGAATGATCGATTAATTTATTATGTTTTTACTTTTCTTGAACTGATTTCGAATATAATCTTTTGGAAATATAAGAAGTCGACCGAGAAAACATTGCTTTGAAAAAAATATATTTTGCAAATATTTTGTTTTCTCTTACATAACCTAAAAACTGACCACAGAGAAATTAATAGAAGGAAAAGAAAAATGATCAAAATCACAATTTGGCAGATGACATGAGCTCTGTCAAAAAAATTGACAGATATTGCAAAAAAAAAATATCTGAAAAGTGGAAAAGCAATCCTTTATCTCTTTAATTTCATATCTTTATGCACAAAACAAAATATTAAAATTCTTTACTATCTAATTTACAATTATGATAAAATTATTTTCTTTGAAACAACAGAAAAAAGATGGCGAGGGAACGCCAAGATCTGGAAATCAGAAAAAAGCATCTGCAGCTCAGTTAAGGATAACTAAAGGTTTCAGAAATAGTATAAATAACGTACGCACTTTGATTTAATCTTTGTTTTAGATCTAAGCGAATTGAATCTACCTAAAACCTGTTCGACGGAGTTTCCAGATCCCGATGATCTATTAAATTTTAAACTCGTTATATGTCCAGATGAGGTGAGCCATTTTTCAAACAAATTTATAATATCGTTATATTGTCGGAGTAATTTTTAGGGATTTTATAAAGGAGGACGATTTATATTTAGTTTTAAAGTAGGGCCAAATTATCCCCATGAACCTCCAAAGGTTAAATGTGAAACGCAGGTGTATCATCCAAACATTGACCAACAAGGCAATGTGTGCCTAAATATTTTAAGGGAAGATTGGAAGCCTGTTTTAACTATAAACAGTATTGTGTATGGATTACAGTATCTATTTCTTGAACCTAATGCAGAGGATCCTTTAAATAAAGAAGCTGCTGAAGTCTTAACAACTAACAGAAGAGTATTTGAACAGAATGTTCAAAAAGCAATCAGAGGTGGCTATGTGGGTGGTATTTACTTTGACCGTTGTCTTAAGTGATTATTTTTTTTAAATACTGGAAAGTATGTAATTAAATATAACGTAAATACTAATATAAGGACATGAGAGAATCATTTTATTGTGTATATGAAATCAAACTAGAGTTATATGAAGATTCAAATTTATAATAGAAAATAGTTCTAATATTTTCTATTCTAACTGTATAGCTATAATACAAAACATTTATTTGAAATTTATAATTTTTCAAAGTAATGCTGTTTTCATAATAATTTTAATTGTTAGGTGTCTATTCAGAATTTGAATTGTTTTCTATAAAAATATCATTATTTAATTTTAATAAGTCTATTTCTTTGTAATTTATATGTAACATCTAGACTAGCTCTCAAACATGAGATTTATTATTATTTTTTTTGGTTTTATTTAGATTTGGCCACTTCTAGACTATTATTTATTTTAATTTTGTAAATCATGTTTTCAATAAAAAAATAGTTAAATACTTTTTATTGATGGGATTTATTGAATCGAGCTGAATGTTACCTACTGGTGGAATTCAAAGTAAAATAATATAATTTCTTATATTTACTTTATTAAATCTACACTACAAATAATATGAAGTAAAATAGTCTATTTTCCAAATGGGTAATAATCCAAGCCCGAGTTATAACTAAATCTAGGCTTGGTGGATTTTTTGGTTGTTGCAATTAAGTCTTGCACATCTTTTCTGTAAGGAGCTGGTTGCATTTCATCATGTAAAGTGCATTCAAAGGGTTCACGTTCTACTTGTTTATATATTCTTTTTCTGATAATGTCTACATCTCTAACATATTCATCTGCCAGTCCATGTAGAGAACTAGGTGGAGCATTAAATTCCAAAAGAAAATAACTAAAAAAAATTGGAAATACTATGTTTTGGATAATATTAAATAAGTACCTCGCTTGATGATGCACTATGCCATGAGAACTAGTTTTATATGGCATTCTTCTCGTTCCCAAATTCTCTAGTTTTCTTATTATACCTCCTTTATCAAATATTTGTTCCGCAACTCTATGAAGAACTTGTTTAGTTTCAGGCTAAAGATTAAGTCTATTAATATAAAGAAACTTTTAATATTTGTCTTTTACTTACCTTTGGCATGACGCGTAATAATAACAGCAACTCGTAATTTATCATTTCAATTTCGTTTTTTAAGTGATTTTAAAAAATATTCTTGTATGAAGTTTCACGTGAGAGGTTAAGTAAGAACAAGAACTGTCACTGTCAAAATTATCCACAGATTTATATTATGATATGACCACTGAATACAGTAAAAGCAGTGTCCCCAATATTAGAAAAGAAAAATATATTTGATCGAAGGTTTTTTTAATTTCTTTATTTTCCATAATTTTTAAATAATAAAGCCCAGTTCATACACTTGCGAATTACGATTTACGAATTGCGAAATGCGTTCTATTTTCGTTCTGATTGGCCACCTTCAAGGAAGACCTTGAAAGCGACCAATTGCAAGATAAATCGCAAGTGTATAATGAAGTATGAACTGGGCTTAAGTAGTTATACATATAAAAATGTTTGTAAGGGTATAAGAACAGGTAAGAACTATAGAGGGAAAAACTTTAACAAAGAAAAGATGATTTTTCTTAATAATAGCTGATAACAATAAACAACTTACAATAACGATACCTGTTTTACTGTTTATAAATTTGACCAGGTTTTAAAAATACCACGCTAGATGTCGCATACGTCAATAATCCGCCATCTTATTCCGACGAATTTAGAATAATAAAGGTAGTTTCTGGATATACAAATTTTGAATTTTGTGATTATTTCTGGATATAAAACCATATCTATTATAAACTGGAGAATGTTTTTTTAAACCAGTTATAAACTATAAACTGAAAACTGAACGATATGGATGAAGTTCAAGAATTAAGGGAGATTGATAGATTAATTATAGAACAGAAGCTGGAACCAGAGGTTTTTATATGCTATTTTTTAAATAACACCTAATAAAAATATCATTCACATTTTTTATAGGATCCTGATGATTTGGAATATACAGAGTTTATTGACGATGGTGACAACGAAAGCGATGAGGTATTTTTGTTCTATTTTTTTTATTCTTTTATTTTCCTAATTTATTTTTAGTCCGATGAAGATTATGAAATACCTGACTATCAAAAATCAGACATATCGAAATTCGGCACGTACAAGCCCGTATCTATATTATCTGAAAATGAGAAAAAGCTAATCGATATGTGCAAAGATCAAGATCTGAAAGAAATGTTACTGTTGAATCGCCAAAAGAATTTTCAACTGATCCAGCTATTTAAGAACATTAAAGATCAGTTGATAGAATGCCAAGAGAGCATAACTGAAAAAGAGAAGCTTGTTAAAGAGCTCAAATGTGCAAAAAGAGTATCGAATAAGATTTGGAGGATAGGCAGACCATATTTTAAAACAGTTGATAATTATTACTGCCCTCGAAATCAGGATGTAGTTCTAAAAGATAAAAGAGGTGAAATATTGTATTACGATATGACAACAAGCCACAAATGGTTTAAGTATGAAATAAAGAGATTAAATGCAGGTCTGAATATTTCGTTAAGTATCTATATCTAACATAAGTTGCTATCTCTTTTTTACAGGTGTTGCATTTCATTACAAAATGCGAAGATTAGACGAATTGCATCAAACTATTCAAGAAAAGGAAAAAATTATGATTTCATCTGGTCAAGCAATAGATTCAAAAGAAATTTCTGAATTAAAAAATATGATTCAAATTATCTCAAATGATAATGAAGTAGTATATCCGCCTTTAAATTATAATGATGCTTTCGAATGGAGTAGGATTGCAACTAATTTCTTAAATGATAAGTAAGTTTATTCTTATTCGCCTATAAGTATAATTATAAAAATTTTCAACTTTGTTTATCCATACTACTCTTCATGGTAACAGTTTACAACATGGGTTTTCGGCATCATTATACCGTATGATCGAGAAAAAACGGCGTGAGCGGTGGCTATGAAATGAAGATCGCTGTCATTTTATATGTAAATTTATATGGGAAATGTCATCGATCATCATTTCCCAGCCAACTGGACGCCGTTTTTTTTTCGATCATACGGTACCTATACCAGATGATCGAAGAAAACTGCGTCTAGTTGGCCCTTTTTTTCTCTATTTCTTGCTTATTATATTGTTAAACTGCTGCTGGGTTCCATATGTGGATAATCAAATGTATAATGCTACTAACGAAGTTTAGTTGCACAAAAGAGCAACACTAAAAACCATTTAACACCATATAAGTAATAAAACTTATTTTACAAACTAATATTTATATGACGAATTTATATGTTTAACTTATCTGGATTAGATGATCTGGAATCTGGATATCTGGAATGAGCAAAAAATCGGAAACTGCGATTCAATCGCAGCGATTTTAAAACAATCGCAACCTGCGATTGGTTCTCATAGGAAACTGCAATTGCGATTTCTTCTATTTGCTTGTTTCAACTTAGGCAACCAATATTACTATATTTGCTGTCCTCCATTCACGCAGTTGTGCAGCTGTGAACTGTTCAAGAACGCGATACTCTCACTCCATTCAGTTGAGTCATATAAAGTTTAGAATTGTTCCGCGCCATATGAAGGCATCAGTCTATCGCGCACAGCTCCTTTCAGAACCGTTCTCGAGTAGCTCAGGGCGTAAAGCTCTGGAACTTGAAATTCGCGAATGGAGGACAGCAATTGTCGTTGGTTTGCCTTTAGTTCAATATTTTTGAGACGATATCGAATGTTTTATGGAACGTGTTTTATTTTTGTTCTATGGCAGTTAAGTGATCTGTTACCCCCTTTTTAGATATATGCTCGTTTCGAGATGTATTCGACAAATGACAATATTGGCTGCAAAGCGAGCCTCTGGTACGGGAAGTCTGCTAGTAATAGTCTACAGTTTTCTCCCCTGGCATTTGCTTAGGGTTGTAACAGCAAACGAGGATCTCGATTTCCGTAAATGTAAACAAGACTTTGATCATGTTTCGGATTGTACGCCAACGCAAACCATAGAGTCCACACGCCCGCTGCGGGATGGCTGATGTGTAATGTTGTTGTGCGCTTCTCTCTGCCAGCGTAGTTCTCCTACCTGTCTAAACTTTTAATTGAACGTCAAGGTTATTTCTCTGGACATTCGCAAATCTCGAACCACACAGTGAGTGAGCGAATAATCAGGAGCTACAGAAAAGAGGTATCGTTGTTCTGTTTTCACCGTCTCATTGTTGTATCAGGCCATAAAGTCGATAAAGGACATCTCCGAATCAGGGGGATTAAGGCGGCATATCAGAATCATAAGAGAAACGCCTCTCTTCTTCGGCGAGCCTGGTTAGTGGTTTAGCGATGGTGGCGAAACCCTTTACATATCGGCGATAGTATGTGCATAATCCTAAAAAACTCCGTAGTTTGTGTTTGTCTTTGGGTATCGGCCATCCTTTTAGTGTTTAGTTATCTGTGAATCAACTGCAACTCCATAGGAGGAGACTACATGGCCCAGGTGTATACCTTTTCCTGACACAGATGACATTTCTTGTGGTTGATAAAATGAATAATGGGAGTATTATTCTGTTGGAGCCAAGGAACCATGACAGCGAAATAGGACGGAAGGTCACTGTAGGAAAAGCCTTCTACGAGCGAAGAAGGTTGTACCGGTGAAAGTAATGAACACTAATTATTATTCGGTGTCTTTGAAGAAGGGAATCCTGTTAGGGTACTGTTGTTCAGTCTCCTCAGTCATTTAAAGCGCGGAAGCCTCCAAAGTTTCGCCTTCAAAAATTCCGGACAAAATGGTGAATGCGCTAGTATATGTTAACAGATTATTGGATTATCTCCCGGTAGAAAATTGAGAAGCTTGGTAATCAAGTATCAAGGTGTGTTTGATAAAGAAGAAACAGGGCAGAGTACCAATTTAGTACAATTTTAAATTGACACCGGTGATGCACGACCAATTAAACTAAATCCGAGAACACTTCCACTCGCCAAATGTGAAGAAGCTAACAAAACCCTTCGAGAAATGAAAGAAGAGGGCGTCATCGAACCATCTAACAGCCCGTGGACATCGCCGGTAGTACTAGTAAAGAAGAAGGACGGTACCACCAGGTTCTGTGTTGATTATCAGCAGCTCAATAATGTTACCAAGAAGGGATAGCTATCCCCTGCCGAGGATAGACGATACACTAGACACGCTGGCGCGGTCTTAGATCTGAAGAGTGGATATTAGCAAGTCGACATGGCGCCGAAAGACAGAGTTCTCGGTGGGCTCCGGACTGCGGCAATTTACCGTCATGCCTTTTGCATTGTGCAACGCGCCAGCAATCTTCGAAAGACTAATGAAGTCTGATGTGTTGAACGGACTGGGTGGGCGTAGTGTTTTGCGGTGACATACTCGTCAAGTCCACCTGGACTCTTTGCCGCTTCTATATAGGTAGCTACTTATAATACCTATTTGTGTACCAAGGCCGTAAAGTTGATCTTTTTTTAAGACGAAAAAAATCATACGGCCGAGGTGCACACAAAATTTTTTAGGCGAGTGTCTTTTGAAGTAGGTTACAATTTTTTTTTACAATTTTGTATTGGCGGCTTCATAAATTGCAATTTTAACTGTTTTTATCACAGTATATCCCGTATAATGTGGTTTTTTTTTTGTTTTTAATTTTTTTTTAAGTAAATCAAGTGTGTCTAGTATGCTGCCCTCATAATGACTTTGTTTGCAAAAGCGGCCGTAAGGTAAAAGAGCGGCCGTAAAGTAAAAAAGCGGTCAAAAGAGATACACTTTTGGGACGTTAATAGATCCGTACAAATTAATTTTTTGTGACACTCGCTTAAAAAATATATTGTTGTTTATTTAAATGTTTTTTGTCCGCATTCTTGAAATTCCTTTCATAGACACAGAACCAGTGGATATACTTTACATACCCCTTTGGAAATTTTGTTAAGCTCCGCCCTTGGCGTGGCGTAAGGACAGCTGTCCATTGAACCATATCTGTTGAAAAATATTTTAAATTATACCTAATTAACAATAAACCGTTCTGTAAATATCTGTCTTTTCTACTTCCTATTAGGTTCACCCCAGAGGACTGTGAAATATTTTGGAATATTTATTTACACCCAAATGCAAATAAAGACCTTTGGACTAAAGAGGAAAATGATAAACTCAGTTCTCTAGTAGATAAGTATAAGTCTCAAAATTGGGATCTTATTGCCCAAGAACTGGGTAATTATTTTTAATACTAAATTTTTTCGACTCATTTATTTTTGTTATATTTCAGGTAATAATAGAACAGCATTTATCGCTCTTATGCATTATTTTAGGAATATTGTAATACCGAAAGGTGGTCGCTTTACGCCAGCCGAAGATAAATTGCTCCTCGATTTGGTTAATGTGTTTAGACAAGGTATGTACCTATTTTATTATACAGGATGTTCCTTGTAAAAAATAAAGCCGAAGTAGCATTTTTAGACGCATTTTAGGTAGGAAATGTTTCTAATAATCATGTCTGTTTCTTCACACAAAATGGAAACGGTATGCCACAAATAGGAAACATTTTTGAAATCTATATATTTTATATGGCTTTATTACATGTCTTTCCAATGTGGGGACACTAGCCGTTTCCTGAAATGTTTCGATGCGGAATCAAAACGTTTAAAAGAAATGTTTTTAAACATTTTCTGCAATTTGTGTCCAATATGTTTCCGTTTTCAGCCGCTACTGTTTCTAAATGTGAAGAAACAAAATACCAAACTAAAATAGTCTATATCAGTGTGGATTTCAAAATGAAAACAACCATCAACAATGTCGACCTCCGCCATAATAGGCTACTTGCACATACTTTAATTTTCACCTGAAAACTACTTAAAGACCTTTATAAATACAACACGTAGCACCCCCACGATGTTATTTCCAAAAAAAATGCAAATTATTTCTTAATTTGGATTATAAACTTCACCCGGGACCTTTAAATTTGACGTCACGCGAAAACGTTATACCATTGGTTGTGACGTCACGAGGTACGATTTCGGTAAGGCAGTTTACCACAAGCCAATAAAGTCTGCCGTTCTATTGAAATATTTGGAAATTTCAGCAACAAAAAGCAAAGAACCACTTATCAAAACTCACGCGTGCAACTAGTAAAACTCAAAATGACGAAAAAAAAGGTTCAAATAAAAAAAAAATAACCTGAACAGCCCAGATTGGACCGAGCAACTGAGTAGATACAGACTTTATTCGCTAAAGCATTTTACTGCCATTTTACCAAAATCTATACATTTTACGTTGTTCATAGGTACTATTAGTAATAATAGACAAATTTTAATATCTTTATTGCTATTTTTTAGTTAGCCATGTAGCTGGTCATATTGTTCAATATAAGTATAAACTTTCATTAATACATAATAAAACTTGACTAAACCATATTATATTTAAAAAAGTTATAGCCAGTAAAAAGTGGGACAAAATAAAATGGTAACACTATACACTATGTAAATATCTTGACAAAATATAAACATTTATTATTAATATAATTAAAAAAGCTGTTTTTTGTCAACTTATTTAGGGTCGTTATTCACTAAACCACAGGCAATAGTTATGTATAGTCTAATTGAGAAATCAAGTTAATGTGGATGTAAGCGTAATGTTTTAACACATCAAACTCTCTTAAACGCCTTATAACTCTTTCAATATGGATTCTTAGACTAGACTTTTCATATAGCTTCTACGATGCCTATCCTATAAAGGATTTCTTCTAGGATTTCTTGTTTTATGGGCAAATCAGATTTTGGAGTACTGGCTTCACACTAATCTTGAATAATACTTTGACTTGCCCTCTTTGGTAATCCTGCAGTTTATTAATCCTGTGTTGCCAAACTTAAGAATATAGGTTTGGAAATAGGGAAATCTAAAAAATATTCACTCTGATGTTGATAAAGATTGTATCAAGATTTATTCTGAAAATATTTTATTGCATAGGATATTGTTCAACAATGCACTTTAAAAAGTTTGGAAATTCTGGCTCTCCTGAGATTTTGTTCCTCCACATAAATTCATGTAAATAAGAGCCAAACAGATTGGGAGAGGTGCCAAATTGCCTTTTTAATTTTCTTTTAGCTCTCATCCATAAATTTTCAACATTTTGTGTGTGAATTCGAGGATCATTGGGATCAACAAAATTTTCTTGATGAATAACGACAAGATATTCATAAACACCTCCACCGAGAACATTTATGTTTCGATAGACTCTCCACCTATCAGAAACGATAGTAGTACCAGGAAGTATATATCTAAAATTGTTAATACCTATTTTTAAGGACAAACAAAATATTAGCTATGTTGTTAGCTATGTATTTACCAGTCTAAATTATACTAGGCATGCAATTTATACCCGGTATTTCTCCTAGATGGTTCCCTCCCTTTGAAATGAATAAGTTATAGCCATTTTCGGTTTAACAGGAAGAGACAAAAATAACAACTGTATGCCAATCAACGCAGTAACCCTTATTAACATACTAAAAGTCCCCATTTGTCCGATGTGTGCGTCATCAAAAAAAATCAGCCGCCATCTTGAATTTTGGTACTTTTTGGGAAAAAATGTAAATAACTCAAAAACGGTGCGTTATAGCGAAAAACTTCAAGAGGTAAAAATTAAAGAGAATAAAAAACTCTATCAGAATCAATGAGGAGTAGTTTATTATCCTAACGCAGTGACGTACAAAATTTTTTTGAAAATCGAGCAATTTTTAAAAGAAATCACCGAAATGCAAATTACTATTTTTTAAGCTTATTAACAAATAACATAGATATTTAGCATCATTTCAACTAAAATACAGTCCTTGTGACATTTTCAAGAAATATTTATTGGTGGTTTAATAATATTTCAAAATTAACAAAAATTGTCAAAGCTATCCTTTACTAAATACATGTGTACTAATAATGTGCGAAAGCAGCCTCCACCTTGTTCCGGTCGGGGTTATTTGCACTTAAACCAATGTCTTTTTGTTACCATTTTGTAAACAACTTGTTTTTAAAAGTACAGTGACAGTTTGAAAAATTAGAAAAATTAAAAATGAAGAAAAAAATAAAATGTAATAAACTACTTGCGAATGTCTTTTTGACATAAATATCATCTACGATTTTAACCTAAGATCTTAACACTTTTTCATTATGATAAATACATTATAAACATACCCCTACGAATCGAATAACAATAATTCAAATTATGACCATTTTAATAAAAATGTGTTACCAACTTGTAACCTAACTTTTCAAACTGTCATCTCTAGAAAAAAAATGAAATTTACAATTTTATTCGATTTGTTCTTCATCGACCGATATTTGTTTGTTCTCGCAAGAAATACCATTACAGTTACCACACAAGCATGAACATAGCATATTGGATTTTAAACATGTACCATTGCGATTAAAAAAAAATAGTACAACAAAATATGATTTAATCTGCTTGTGTCAGTGTCACGTAATTTTTAAAAAATGCCTTCAACTTCAGAGCAAAAATCGATTATATTTACGCGATTAAGGGATGGGGTTCCCATAAGGGACATTGCAGATGCATTAGGGGTAAACAAAAAAACAGTGTTGTTTGTTAAATCCAAAATTCAATATAATTCAAATATCCTTATAGACCAGGAGTTTCATCTGGGACTACTAATTCTTGTACTACTTTTTTTTATCGCAATGGTACATAGTTTATTACATCCAGATTTGTAATTACAGTAAATCATTTTCAATACAAATTCTGGTGCCACTGCGTTTGACATTGTTTTTGGAACTAAGGTATCCGTTTTTTTACTCCATCCACATTCTGTTGCCTCTTCTCCGTTATTTAGTTAATACTGCATTTATAAATAGGTCCTATAATAATGATTTTCAGCTGCGTTAGTTGTTGGAGGTAAGGTAGCTAAATCAAAATTTTTACTATAAGTACCTGACGAGATGTAAGGGCTTTATATTTAAAATACGTCAACTGATCTAAATCTTGCTAGCCTATGTCGATCATATAATGAAAATAAGAATGTATTTCCAGCTTCGACTAGCTCAGATTTTTGGGCTGCAGGATCTAAAAAAAACGGATGTAATTTGTCGCAGATGAGGATCTTTTTGAAACGTTTTGAAAGTCGCCAGTTTACATTACATTTTATTTTTTTCTTCCAACCTATAGCCTAATTTTTCAAACTGTCACTGTATTTTTAAAAACAAGTTGTTTACAAAATGGTAACAATAAGACCTTGGTTTAAGTGCAAATAGCCCCGACGGGGACAAGGTGGAGACTGCTTTCGCACATTATTAGCATAGTATAAGGAAACCATTATAATATATAATATAAGAAAAATTATTAGCATAGTATAAGGAGTAGTTTTACTCCTTGTCAAATTTTTTGTTCTTTTTCTGCCACTTTATATGACCTTGTTCTCGCCTCCGTAGCCGACGACGTAGCTGTATAGTCGTGGTCTATTAACTAGGCAAAGTATAGACGTGACACTCGCCATAGTTTCACAGATATATATTTAGGAAAATATGAGTTCACAATAAAATAAAATAAAAAAATGATCATTGAGTAAAAACTTGCTTGAAAACAGAATATTTTCACATTTCGTGTAGGTAACAATTGTTCTGTAATCTTCTGATGGGAAGAAATGCGCAAAAAATATATAATGACATATTTTTACATTATTATCTATTTCAGAGATTTTCTATGACTTTTTTTTATTTAAAGCAAGTTTAATTTTCTGTATATAACTGGATTCGGCATAAAATTATGCTATAGTACACTGTCTTTATTTAAAGCACACTGCGGTGTTGCCAATCTATTTCTTATTTACTAATACTTTGGTTAAAAACATTATATACGAAAAGTGGTAAAAACTAGAGTGAATATAACTTTATTAATACTTTGCTATGCTTTCTTAAACATGAAGGATATCGGAATAAATTCGTGTAGAAAAATTTACTTTATCATATACAGGATATTTTTTATGGCGTCACCAAAATCGTAATATTTAAAAAATGTTGTATCTTATTTTTTTTAAAATGCAACACCTTGTATATTATTTTTCTTTCAGATGTAGAATTAAAAGGTGAACATTTTTTGACAAGACAAGACAGACAAAGATCATATTGGGTGGCTTTGAAAATTTTCATATTAGGTTAATTGATAATTACTATCAGCTTGCCGATTTACATCCGATGGAAATCTAAAAAGACTCAAAGTACAATTTTTTGAATTATTTCCACAATTAATAGCAGCGCACAGTAAGCAGGGTTCGGAAGTAGTTAATTAAGACGTAATTTACCTGATTAACTACGTGTAGTTTTTCTTCAAAAACTACGTCTTTTCCCATTCATTAACTACATGAAAACTACACTAATAAACTATGTATTGATATTATGAATAATTTTGCTTTGTATGAGGGGTCTAAATAATATGATGTGTGAATATTATATTTAAAGCCATATTTCTTCTGTTTTCTTAAATACATTGTGTTTTCAAAAAGCTTCAACTTATTATAACCTCACCTCAAACCTTTGATATTTGAAAGTTACATACATAGGTTACATAAACTACACTCTCTACATAAACTACATTAACTACATGTAATGTAGTTTATGTAGTTTTTAAAAGTAACATGTAGTTTTCCGAACCCTGACAGTAAGGCACTCATTTTTTGTCAATCCGTCCCTGTGCTCGGACGCAACGCCCGAACCTCACAGCTCGACGGACCGAATTCAACTGAAACGCTTTGCAACCTGCCAGCTTGCAAAAACTGGCAGAAAATATTTGCGAGAGTGCAGCTACTCTTTTCCTTAAACTATGTTATTAGTACACATGTATTTAGTAAAGGATAGCTTTTACAATTTTTGTTAGTTTTGAAATATTAACCCACCAATAAAAAATATTTCTTGAAAATGTCACAAGGATTGTATTTCAGTTGAATTGATGCTAAATATCCATGTTATTTGTTAATAAGCTTAAAAAATTAGTAATTTGCATTTCGGTGATTCCTTTTAAAAATTGCTCGATTTTCAAATTTCTTTTCTACGTCATTGCGTTAGGATAATAAACTATTTTTTATTGATTTTAATAGAGTTTTTTATTCTCTTTAATTTTTACCTCTTGAAGTTTTTCGCTATAACAAACCGTTTTCGAGTTAATTACATTTTTTCCTAAAAAGTACCAAAATTCAAGATGGCGGCCGATTTTTTTGATGACGCACACATCGGACAAATGGGGACTTTTAGTATGTTAATAAGGGTTACTAAGGCTAACTATTTTCAATGGTCGCAGCTTTCTAAAAATTTTTGCAATTTCACCATGGTGAATGTCATAACTGCACTGGGGTAATTTTCCATTCCATATAATTTGCAATATTTTGCTGCAACTAGAAAAAAAGTACTATTTATAAACTCCATAAAAATAAAAGTCAGGTTAGTTCACACACTTGTTCCTTATTTTCCTATTGTTTTATATTTGTATTTCTCAACTAACTCAAAAATAAATTTCTAATTGAACTATTCTTTTCAAATTTAAATAAATACTTACATTAAATGGTTTTCACAAAGGTAGATATAGATTTTTGAAGAACTTAAGGCTGGCGTCTTATTTTCTAGAGTCAGATTTTTCGCTGTTTCTCTTCGATAGGCTAATGTTAATGTTTTTCGAGGAGTGGAAAGTGTCGTACTTTTGCAACCTGGTACCATACAGTATCGATAAATCATTTTGCATTCGAAAATTAGTAAAAAACCTCGCCGAAAATCGTAGCTCAATAGAATGTCAAAACAAAATAATACCATAGATAAAAGTTTAGATTGGAAAGCCCGTAAAAATTTGAGGTCGCGAAATTATTTTGGGTCGCGACCGTTATACGCGATCTGGCGCTGCTATAGCGGTCGCTAAGAACAACGGCAAACAAAAACAGAAATAATTTTCTCTTGTTAAAGTCAGAATCTTCAAAAGTCATAATAATCTTTCAAAATCCAAACTTGATCCAAACCGCTCTCATTAAAGAAATTCCGAAAAGTGTTTATAGCGTCCATTTTTAAAGTAATAATTGCTATCTTGTGAGTTTAATTCAAGTTTTATTTACTCCAACCGGTGATAATTGTGAAAAAGTGGCATTAAAAACTTAAAAAGCTGTGCTGTGAACTGTGAACTGCAAAAACCATCGTGGATCGTGGCATAACGTCGGTTTCCAATGTTTTATAGGTATTTCATACATGCGTCCTTATATAAAATAAAGTTTCTTGTATGCAACACACTGTCTTTTATTTATAAAATTAAACGAAAATAATAATAAATTTGAATAAACAATATTTGACGATATAATTCCGGAAAAAGCCGAACCGCTCCGAAATTTTCAAGTTTTGGGTCGCGACCGTTGCAAGAATAGCGCCAAATAGTGTTTACATTGTCCTTATGGGCACTTTCCAATCTAAACTTGTTTCATTTATCTATGAATAATACCTCGTGACGTCACTATCGTAAGCGAGGTCAAAGCCGACGTTTCAGCGGGCTTCTCATCAATTTGAATTTTAACCATTTATTACGGCATTAATACACCAGATATTTTAAAAATACTACGCAGAGGTGCTTTTTGGGTCTAAATGATCATTTTAAGACAATAAAAAAACGCCCGCAAGGGGCCTATTGTTTTGTCTTAAGATCTTTGGTTTTTAGGTTTTCTCGCACAAAAAATGTCTGGCAACAGCAAATTCATCTTTTAATTTAATAATGTTTCATATTTTTAATGCCCCTTTTATATATCATTATTTGTTGCTACGAAATATTTTTGTTTGAAATATAGATTTTTATTATTTATTTATCATGGTTCTGAAAATAAAAATATATAAATTATTGTAAGTAGAACGCGTTCTTATGAGTTTAAAAGCTCAAGAACCTATTAAAACATATATTCTTAGATAAAACGCTATCACTAGCCAACATGGCGCAATTTTAGTTCATCATTTTATAAAATTGACATGGACACAAATCTTCTACATTGTATAATATTTGTGTCTAAAAAAGAGAAACTCGTGTTTCGAAACTGAATCGACAACAAATGGAAACCTTGTTTCCAAAATGTGCTATCTGTGTAGAAATTTCGAACTAATCATCTGTCAACAACGCTAATCAAACTTTAACCCGTCGCCGTCGGCGTCGTCAGAAGCCAACAAAGAAAACAAACAAAAACTATTTATAATATCTAAATACAACTATTCAAAAACACCTTACTTTTTAACGGTTTATAATAGACCTATCTGCTGAAAACTAAAATATTCTTGAATCGTTGTATTTAGATATTCTAAATAGTTTTTTTTTTCTTTGTTTTTTGCGTCTGATGACGGGAGGAAGTATACTTCTGAAACGTAAAGCATTTTTCGTCGGTTAGGCAAATTTGTTATACTAGTAACAAGTCACTGACAAGCTGGTTTCCATTAGGATTCAACGCCCAGTGGTGTTTACAATAAATAACTTTCATTTTATAGATTTTCTTCCACTGATGAAAAAAACAATTTTTTTGTCAAAAAATAAACCTACTACAAAGGTGTCGGCTTTATTTATTTTTATTAATATTTTTATTTTACTAAACAAACTGACATTGTATGCTTTTTTTTCAAGGAAATTACACACCATGGCATAGGGTGGCGTATCACTTTGGAGGTCGAACAAAATGCCAGCTGTTTAATAGGTACAGGTATTTTCTCAGCTGTCAAGAAGGCATTCTTAGGGGAAAATTTACGATAGCGGAAGATATTTTAATGATGGTTTTGGTAGACAGATTTGGCAGAAGGTTTTCAGAATGGAAAACATATTTTCCGAATAGGTCCCATGTACAGATCAAGGCTAGATATACATCAAATGTAGATAAAGCTCTAAAAAAAGGTATGATGATTACTTCGTAATAAAATTATACATTTGTATATTGTTTCGTCTGTTATAACAGATTACTTTCTAATTTGTTTACACGCCATTGTTCATTTTCGAAATTTATCATAAATAATAATTTAGGTATAGTAGTGTCTATTAGATAGTGATGGGTTGTTATTTAACTATCTGTTATTTTATAACAATTATTTAGAAATAACATAACGCAACCGTTACTACTTTTAAAAAATAACAGATATAAAATAACGACACGCAGAGATCGACCGTTCGTGAAACGAAGTCGGCGCTCTGCACCGCCACGAAATTCGATGCTGCTCGAAGTAATTCCAAAAAACAACTAGTATGGATGGAAAACATGTTATTTCGACAACCATCGATACAGGCGGCGAGATACAACGGACAACGGAGCGGGGTATGCGCTACAGCGCGGCGCGGCGAACGTAGCTGCATCGGTCGATGGTCGTGTTGGGCTTGCAACAGCTTAAAAATAATAGGATATAAAAGAAGCAGCTTTTTTGAAACAATTGCGGGCATAACGCCTGGCGGTCGAGATAACAGGAGTGGGAAAGGAACGCTGCTGCATCGGTCGATTGTCGATGGAGGCTCGTAACGGGTTGTAAAATAACGTATAGAAAATAAGCAGTCATTTTAGATACGTTGTTTTTTAACCTGTTACGAGCATAACAGAGCGGCGGTCGAGATAAATCGGAGTGGGAAAGTAACGCTGCTGCAACGGTCGATTGTCGATGGAGATTCGAAACAGGTTGGAGAATAACGCATCAGTTGTTTTAGATACATTGTTTTTCAACCTGTTACAAGCATAACGGGCGGAGGTCGAGATATTAGAGAACAACGGCATACGGTCGAGTCGGCCTACAAACACGTAAACGTTTACGTACGCATGCGCATTTCTTATATCTCTTATTTTTTATACACGTAAAAGATGCTTTACGTCTACGTATACGTGCCAGCAGCGGCCGACTTGACCGTATGCCGTTGTTCTCTATTATGGCGCTGTATGTTTCAGTACGTTATTAAGTTTTAATATTTAGGTATTTATTTATTCTGAAAAATTTTCAGAATAATATTTTAAGATTTTTTTAAAAACGTATACAGGGTGTTTTGAAAAATCTGGTCATTGATTAATCACGATCCTGCTTAAAGCCCTTGACGTAAAAAGCTGATTTTTGGAAAACGGATTGACTTTGGGGTGAACAGGTTCGATAAGAAGGGATTTTTCGAAACTTGAATTCCAAGGGGATGAAACCACCATCAAATATTAGAATATTTTTTATTTAAAAACCGGTGAGTTTTTCGGAAAAACTCTTAAACACGTATATTTTATTTTGTGGTTTTACATATTTTAAGATTTTTAAAAATATATACAGGGTGTTTCATAAAATATGACCATTGAGTAATCACGATTGTGCTTAAACTGCTTGACGTTTAAAGCTGATTTTTGGCAAACGGATTGATGTCCACTATTATAGTTAATCACTGTTTAGCCTTTAAACAAAGTTTATACAAACGGTGCAAGTGGGCATGACTGTGGGGTGTAGAGGTTCGATAAGGAGGGTTTCTCGTATCTCAAATTCAAAGAGGGTGAAAACGCCCCTCAAATATTACAATATTTGTTATTTAAAAAACTGTTAGTCTTTCGGGAAAACGCTTGGACACGCATAATTTATTTTGTTTTTTTACATATTTTGAAATTTTTTAAAAAATCATACAGGGTGTTCCAAAAAGTTGAGTAATTGATTAACCACGATTCTGCTTAAACTGCTTGACGTTTAAAGCTTATTTTTGGCAAATGTGAGAAAATTTTATCCAGTTTGTATGTTTGGAAATTCTTGCTTTGCTTTATCATCACCATTACAAATTATTAATTCGACGCGAATGAAGTCGCGGGTACACGCTAGTTTAAGTGTAAAATTAATTCGAACTCTAGTGGTTTACTTATGAGGAATATACTACACATTTTCTTATATTGCTATTTTTTTTACCGCAAATGGTAAAATCATAACTAGGAGCTTCTCGCCCGTCGAGTGAGATGCACCCTGTACACTGCTACGCAATTCAGGACCTACGCGGATCGAGGGGCAGGGCGTAGGTAGATCGGAATATATAGGTATAGACGAGTGGTGGCATTTTGGCTTTTTTTGTATCGCAATTTGTAAACAGCGCTTATTTGTAAACAACCACAGTTTTTACAGAGGTGTTTTAGATAACAATCGATATTTAGAAATGTTTTGACACCCTGGAAATACTACCACCGAGCACGTCATTGTTGCAACTTGCAACTGCGTTAATACGCCTGGCGGTAACCGCCTCATACTCTTTCAGATATTTAGCAATAAAATAAAGAAACCTGTTATTTTTAAGCTGTTATTTTAAGCTGTTTTTTATAAATAACTATAACAATTTCAACTGTTATCTAAAAATAACAGTTTTGCCCATCACTACTATTAGAGGTGGGCAAAGATCGAATGAGTCGTTCATTTGAACGAGTATTCACAATGAATTGTGAGATTCGATTCACTGCTTAGGATACGGTTCGTTCAAATAAATCGTAGCTAGCACGGATCCATAACATTTGAACGATGGGCTGTAAAAAAGAGTTGTGAGAATTGAATCGGATCACAATGCGATCGTTCGTTCAAAGAGCCGTGAGAATTGATTCATTGCTTACAATACGGTTCGCTCAATTGAATCGTTGCCAGCACGGATCCATAAGATTTGAAAGATGAACCGTAAAAAAGAATCGTGAGAATTGAATCGGATCACAATGCGGCGTTCGTTTCTATGGCGCGGCGATGATATACGAATAGAGTCAGGCACCAATATTTACACTTGAACACAAGCCCTAAACAAACATCATGGGCATAAAATGCATACCATAAGAAAGTTTTTTTACAAGGGAAAAACTTATTTATACTGTGCTTAGTACGGGAGTATCTGTAAGCACAGAATATCTAGCTACGCAACAGAAGCCTCGTTACATGTATAAAATTGTAGGTAGCAAAAGGAGACAGGCTTTAAAAGTCTGTCTCCAAATCAGATATTTTGATGTGGTAGTTTCGCTACTACATAATAGAGGGCAATAAATTTAAAAGAAAACAGTTTTCTACAAACAAAATTTAAAAGAATTTTGTGCAGTGTTGCCATTGTGTAATTCATATCGTAATACTTCCTGATAAAGCCTACCTTCAAATTTGCTACATCATTTAAACATATTAAAATAGATCAGAGCTGTTTTTTTCAGTTTGCCATGTTAGTTGGAATTAAATCTTATGAGCTAAATTACAATCACTTCCTGACGTTTGATTGTATAATTGAATCCTGAATTTTCATTGTAATTCGGCGACAATATAATAATTATTGTTCTACTATTATGATACTACTTCCTGACGTTCGATTGTGTTCATACCAAGTTCATATTGTATAATCGGGAAAAAACGGCGTTAGCGATAGCTATGAAATGAATATCACTGTCATTTTATATTTAAATTTATATGGGAAATGTCATCGATCGTCCTTTTCCAGCCAACTGGACGCCGTTTTTTTCAGAAGCATATCAAGTGATACCATAATATAGTACTATATTACGATACATGGCGTTCGATTGGGCTTAAACTTGGTATACTATATCTTCAGTGACATTGTAATATCATGGTACCATGGAGCATATAAAGTGGTACCTTCTATAGTACCATATTTGATGACATAGCAATATTAGGTACATGGTGGCAATAGGGCTTAAACTTGGTATACTACGTATTTTCGGTGACATTGTAATATGATGGTACTATGATGCATATCATCTGGTACCATAATATAGTACCATATTATGTACATGGCGTTCGATTGGGCTTGAATTTGGGATACTACGTATCTTCGGTGATATTGTAATATTATGGTACCATGGAGCATAATAAGAGGTACCATAATATAGTACCATATTACGATACCATTTCCTGGCGTTCGATTGGTCTTAAACTTGTTATACTACGTATCTTCGGTTATATTGTAATATGATGGTACTATAATGCATATAAAGTGGTACCTTAATATAGTACCATATTTTAATACCATTTCCTGGCGTTCGATTGAGCTCATATTTGATATATACTTGAGTATTTTGATGACATTGCATTATTATGGTACCATGAAGCATATCAACTGGTACCATAATATAGTACTATATTACGTACATGGCGTTCGATTGGGCTTAAACTTGGGATACTGCGTATTTTCGGTGACATTGTAATATGATGGTACTATGATGCATATAAAGTGGTACCTTAATATAGTACCATATTACGATACCATTTCCTGGCGTTCGATTGGGCTCAAACTTGGTATACTACGTATCTTCGGTTACATTGTAATATGATTGAACTATGATGTATATAAAGTGGTACCTTAATATAGTACCATATTACGATACCATTTCATGGCGTTCGATTGTTCTTAAATTTGGTATACTACGGATCTTGGGTGACATTGCAATATTATGGTACCTTAAAGTATATCGAGTGGTACCATAATATAGTACACTATTATGATATCATTTCCTGGAGTTCGATTGGGCCCAAATTTGGTTTACTTGCGTTTCTTTATAAAGATTTGTTTAATTAATAATTTTAATTTATTTTATGAATTTTAATTTATGGTTCGATGTCGTGACAGCAACTTTTATGCCGAACTAATATATTATTAATTGTACCTGTGTCACTTTTTAAAATCTACCTAGGTCTATAATATATAAATAATGTGGCAAACGGAAGAAATTTGTTATTATAGTATTTTTTAGTCAGTTAACATTTTTTGTACTGCATTTTAATAAATTATTTCCATATTTCATTACTAACGTTCCAGCATTAATAAATATCACTATCAATCGCCCTGTATATTATTAATTTTAAAGGTAATTAAAGGTATTTTCTTAGTTAACATTATAAGGTATAGTGTATATGAAAAATGTATATGTTTTGTAATAATATACTTAAAACTATTTTAATAGCCAAAGGAATAATTAATATAAGTGTATCTGACAAGAAAAGAAGAACAGAAAGAAACACATACTGCATTATATACAATAAAAAAAATGGGATGCCAATTCAAGTCTTTTTGAATCTGGCAACTGTGCATATTTAGCCGAGCTATAAGGCCGTCGACGAGCCGTCGATCCAAAACCGAAAGTTCAAAATTTCTAATTATATTCTGATTATGATATTGTCGCGCCATCTAGTATTCTATTTGTGCAATTTTAGCTCTTTCATTTCGAGTATTTTTCTGTTGCGTAGCTAGATATTCTGTGCTGTAAGGTATTTAATTTTCACTTATATATTAATATTTATATTAAAATAATATTACTGACTATAAAACATTAAATGTCGGACTAAAAGACGAAATCGTGTTTTTCTGTAACTCCAAATAGATATTGTTAGCCTCCGCTCAATATGATAAAAAAACGGCGTCATCGATGGTTATAAAATGAAAAATGAAGATCGCGGTCACTATATATTGTTACGGATTCCGTGGGTCCACTAATTTAAACTCACGATAAAATACTTTACTAATTTATTTTTCTCTTAATTTACACACAATGTATACTAATATAACACACAATTTACTACTTATAAAATTCCTTCGCCAAATTGTCCGATTCGCAATAATTTAAAACGCGGTATATTCAAACTTAACTGGTCCAACTGCCGACAACGCGGGCTTTTATATACCTCTACTAACTGTTTCTGGAACTTTCTATAGAATTCGGTAATATTTCTTTTACTTTCTGGTGAATTCGCCATGTTTCTTGACACGTAGGCAACCAGCAATACAGTTTAGCGCCACATACACCTTGACAATATGTAAAATTATATGGGGAATGTCGTCGATGATCATTTCCAAGCCAACTGGACGCCATTTATTTTTTTGATCATGCGGTATTATATACTATTATGATTATTAAATCGGAATTAAAATATGGCTCCAAAAATATTAAATTGGTATTAAGAAGTATAATAAATGGTATATATGAATTGGATTGATAATTTAATTATTATTGGTAAAATAATCAATCCATTTACGCCAGTGTCATAAAGTGTTGAAAAACATATGAAAGAACTGTATATTTTTTTTCTGGTCCTTTAAGTAATTGTCCGACCAAATTAACGCTGGTAATGCCAGTTACGATTCTTGTTTTTGTGAAACGTAAATTGTGCATGTGGTTCGTTCAAATGAACGAAACGTAGGAGATTCAATATGTGAAATTAAACCGTGTGATTCGATTCACTAAAAAGAATCGTAATGCCCATCACTAGTGTCGATCATGGTAGTGATGGGCAAAACTGTTATTTTTAAATAACAGTTGAAACTGTTATAGTTATTTATAAAAAACAGCTTAAAATAACAGCTTAAAAATAACAGGTTTCTCATTTTATTGCTAAATATCTGAAAGAGAATGAGGCGGTCACCGCCAGGCGTATTAACGTAATTGCAAGTTGCAACAATGACGTGCTCGGTGGTAGTATTTCCAGGATGTCAAAACATTTCTAAATATCGATTGTTATCTAAAATACCTCTCTAAAAACGGTGGTTGTTTACAAATAAGCGCTGTTTACAAATTGCGATATAAAAAAAGCCAAAATGCCGCCACTCGTCTATACCTATACATTCCGATCTACCTACGCCCTGCCCCTCGATCCGCGTAGATCCTGAATTGCGTAGCAGTGTACAGGGTGCATCTCACTCGACAGGCGAAGCTCTTAGTTATGATTTTACCATTTGCGGTCAAAAATAGCAATATAAGAAATGTGTAGTATATTCTTCATAAGTAAACCAACTACACACTACAGTTCGAATTAATTTTACACTTAAACTAGCGTGTACCCGCGACTTCGTTCGCGTCGAACTAATAATTTGTAATGGTGATGATAAAGATAAAGCAAAGCAAGAATTTCCATTAACATACAAACTGGATAAAATTTTCTCACATTTGCCAAAAATAAGCTTTAAACGTCGAGCAGTTTAAGCAGAATCGTGGTTAATCAATTACTCAACTTTTTGGAACACCCTGTATGATTTTTTAAAAAATTTCAAAATATGTAAAAAAAACAAAATAAATTATGCGTGTCCAAACGTTTTCCCGAAATGTTATTTAAAAAACCCGTTTTTTAAATAACAAATATTGTAATATTTGAGGAGCGTTTTCAACTTCTTGGAATTTGAGATTCGAGAAACCCCTCCTTATCGAACCTCTACACCCCACAGTCAATCCGTTTGCCAAAAATCAGCTTTAAACGTCAACCAGTTTAAGCAGAATCGTGATTACTCAATGGTCATATTTTATGAAACACCCTGTATATATTTTTAAAAATCTTAAAATATGTAAAGCAACAAAATAAAATATACGTGTTGAAAAGTTTTTCCGAAAAACTCACCGGTTTTTAAATAAAAAATATACTAATATTTGAGGGTGGTTTCACCCCCTTAGAATTCGAGTTTCGAAAAATCCCTTCTTATCGAACCTCTACACCCTAAAGTCAATCCGTTTTCCAAAAATCAGCTTTTTACGTCAAGGGCTTTAAGCAGGATCGTGATTAATCAATGACCAGATTTTTCAAAACACCCTGTATACATTTTTAAAAGATCTTAAAATATTATTCTGAAAATTTTTCAGACCGATGCAGCAGCGTTACTTTCCCACTCCGATTATCTCGACCGCCCCTCTGTTATGCTCGTAACAGAAAAAACAGCGTATCTAAAATGACTGCTTATTTTCTATACGTTATTTTCCAACCCATTGCGAGCCTCCATCGACAATCGACCGATGCAGCAGCGTTCCTTTCCCACTCCTGTTATCTCGACCTCCAGGCGTTATGCCCGCAACTGTTTCAAAAAAGCTGCTTCTTTTATATCCTATTATTTTTAAGCTGTTGCAAGCCCAACACGACCATCGACGGCATCGACCGATGCAGCTACGTTCGCTGTAGCGCATACCCCACTCCGTTGTCCGTTGTATCTCGCCGCCTGTATCGATGTTTGTCGAAATAACATGTTTTCCATCCATACTAGTTGTTTTTTGGATTTGCTTCGAGCAGCATCGAATTTCGTGGCGGTGCAGAGCGCCGACTTCGTTTCACGAACGGTCGATCTATGCGTATCGTTATTTTTTAAAAGTAGTAACGGTGGCGTTATGTTATTTGTAAATAATTGTTATAAAATAACAGGTAGTTAAATAACAACCCATCACTAGATCATGGATAAATTGGGTAAAGAGGTTTAGATTGTTCTTGCAATGGTCGCGATTCAATGCCCTACCTACTACCCATATTCAAACTATCGCATCTTATGTATATGAGGATATAAAGGTTTATGCAGAAAGTTCCAACTATCTCCACTCCCTACTGAGAATTGTGGAACAATTTTCCAAAGATATCCATATTGCCTTTGGCTTAGGTAAATGTAAAACTCGAATAATATCGAAATTAGGCACCAGGCACTGACGTTTGAGTTACAAGACGGCAATAGGCTTGGTGCATTTCAATTATTGATTTCAAGAAATTCCGACCGCAGCGCTTCAACGGCAAAAATCAGAAATTATCCGCATATAGTTCACGCCGCCGCCGACGTGCTTATGACTGTACATTATAGCGAGAATCGCGCCTTACTGATTATCACCGTGAGCTTAGATCGTTTTCTTCTAAAGCTATAAAATAATATTTCTAAAGTATTTTTCTCTGCATTGCCTTGCATTGTTCTGCATCTCTCCTCGCCCAGGAGACCTTCATCTGCGTAAGATTGATGACGAACCTTGCTTCCTTAAATGCAGTTACACTCTTCTACGAAAAATAAACTTTTTGCTAGAAGTTTCAGTTGGGATATCCTAATTAGTTCAAATGTACTATATTTTTGTCGCTTTCTTTTCAGGTTCATTTACTCTGGATGAAGATAAAAAAATATTGAAACACGTGGAAGAGTACGGCACTAATAAATGGGCACTTCTAGTGAAAATGT